AACTCCCTCCTCGACAGCTTCCCGCCAGAGTCAGTAGCCCCTTTGGACAGTGTGTGCTACGCTCTAGCAAATATTCCTTACTATTCCAAGAGTTTGCAGCATTTATAATGCTGTGATGCTTCTAGAAAATATCTGCTAGGAAAGCATATGATTTACAGAAAGACAATGGGCATGGCTTGTGAGGCCTCCCAGATAGTGGGAGCACCCGGAAATCTTCCTAATGCATTGAGTTCATTTCATTCCAGATGTCTCCCGAGGAGCACTGACCCTCCCAGTTGCTGTTCCCATTGTCCATTAGGCTGTCCCTGCAATTACTCCTTCTGCTTTCCCCGATTCTTTCCCAGATTGGCTTTGTCAACCCTTTTCTCATATGCGTGGCAATGGTGATCCGAATGGATCAATACCTCCATCATTATGACACTCCGTTCTACTGACTAATGGCTAATGTGTATTCAATAATATATTTGTTGCCATTGATCACAAGTGCAAATTCATAATGTATCTGAGTGAGAGATGTGGATAGATGGGAACACACGCAGGGGATTGCAAAGAGGCGGGCAGTCCATTTGTTTCGAGCTGTTGAGCAGGTGTCGATTACATGTATTCATCACGAGATGTCCTCAGCTTTAGCCGCTGTCCCTTGCCCTCTAGTGGCCCATAGCTTGATAGCGGGTGAAGATGCCTAAATGAATGAAGTATTTGAAGTACTAATGTAGTAAGACCCACATATCAAGAGGAGAAAGAATGGCAAGCTCAGAATCAGCCTGGGTTATAGAAAAAGACCTGGTCCATAAAGAAAGAAAAGATTCGCAACCTATGGAGAAGATGGCTGTGAAAAGATGGGTGTGGAAAGCTCTTGGGAGGGAGCAGGCAAGGTTTCTGCATGGACAGTACACTTTCCACTGTGACATATGTGTCACTCACGCTAGCTTAAGCCACAGGTAGATGTTTTCAGTGTTGATAGTTTAGGGACTCAAAGGATAGCTCTGGCTTTATGCCCAAGTAGACCTAGGGCCCAAACAATGCTTTGGGGTCCTGTTCTCTGTCTTTCATCTGCTCCTCTCTGCATGGCCTCATTGTCTCCAACATAGACGCCTTACTTCTGTGCGATTGGCCAAATGGCAACTCAGACAAGTGTCCCCTCAGTGCTCTAGAGGAAAGGAGAGGTTCGTTCTCTTGTCCTAATACTGTCTGTCCTTGGAAACATCACTGACCCATTCTACTTGTTCCTGTCCTGCCTGGTCCTGCAGCCATTCAGTCCCAAAGAAGCACACAAAGGCCTACATTAATTATAAACTGATTGGCCTATTAGCTCAGGCTTCTTATTAACTCTTATAATTTATATTAGCCCATCATTCTTTTTTTAATATTTATTTATTATGTATATAATATTCTGTCTGTCTGTCTGTATGCCTGCAGGCCAGAAGAGGGCACCAGATCCCATTACAGATGGTTGTGAGCCACCATGTGGTTGCTGGGAATTGAACTCAGGACCTTTGGAAGAGCAGGCAATGCTCTTAACCTCTGAGCCATCTCTCCAGCCCAGCCCATAATTCTTTTTTGTTGTTTTTTTTTTGTTGTTGTTATTGTTGTTTGTTTTTTTCTTTTTTCGAGACAGGGTTTCTCTGTAGTTTTGGAGCCTGCCCTGGAACTAGCTCTTGTAGACCAGGCTAGCCACGAACTCGTAGGGATCTGCCTGCCTCTGCTTTCCAAGTGCTGGATTAAAGGTGTGCATCACCACTGCCTGGCTATTCCATAATTCTTACCTGTGTTAACCACATGGTACCTTTTTCGGCAAGGCGGTCACATCTTGCTTGCTCTATGTCTGGGTGATGACTGCAGACTGACTCTTTCTCTCTTCCCAGAATTCTCTTTGCCCCACCTATACTTCCTGCCTGGCTACTGGCCAATCAGTGTTTTATTAAAATACAATTGACAGGGTACAGACCATTGTCCCACAGCAACTTTGCCATTCCTTACATCAGTCACCATTGCAACAAGATAAAGGCATATAATTGGTTCAGGCTGACTCGTGTGTAAGACTGGCTGGCAGGATGAGCAGGGGCGTCTGACTAACCATGACTGGCAACCCACGGATGCCTTTTACACCTGCATTACAGCCTGGTGGATATTTAAGTTGAGCTTTCAAAGGTGGGATAGTTTTTGTCAAATGAAGCAGCAAGAGGCCTCAATTGTTGCTAGAGAAAGCATTAGGAGTAAAGCCAGGAAGACATGTGCCAGCTCAGCAGGTCAGGGAGCTTCAGGGGGGTGTTGGGGTGAAAGAATATGGACTGAGGGTTGCTCCTTATGGTGAATCTGTGGGATACTCAGGACAACATTTTAGGCCTTGCTGAGAAGTCTGGTCTTTGCAATATCGCAGTAGAGATGTCTGGGTTTTAGGTAGAACTTTGCTGTGGCCTTCTGTGGAGACACATGCCTGTAATCCCAGTACTCAGGAGGCTGAGGTAGGAAAATGATGAGTTCAAGACCACCCTGAACTACTCAGTGAGACCTTGTCTCAAAAATAAAGAAAGAGTGCCCCTCTGGTAACAATTATGGACAGATACTGGTTAACGGGGACCAGAAAGGAAATCATTACAGTAATCCAGATAGAGCAAAAATATAAACATTTAAGCTTCTGGTATGCTAAAAGGCCTAACTAGAATATCTACATTGGTGTCATTAAGAAAAACACACAGAAAGGAGAGGGTAGGATCAACAGAACCCTTATCTTTCAAGAAAATGAGATTACGGGATGATTTGTGAGAGCAATGTCACTTGCTGAGATGAATACAGAAGGACCAGGTGTGAAGAGAGGATGAGGAGGACGAGTGAGGTGCTTGCTGCATGTATTCATGGGAACAGAACACTGGGTTTGCCATCCATCACTATCACAGGATGCTCCATACGGGGATGTGAGCTAAGAGGAGCAGCAGGATTGTGGAATTATGGGATTGGTGAGACCGAAGGTCTCAAGAGTTCGTGGTTTGCTTTTGGTTTAGGGAAGAGGAAATCTGGAATCAAAAGCTAGTCAGGTGAGAGACAGTTTTCTGAGTCCATGGTGGTCCATGTAAGCAGGTGTCAGGGACCAAAAGTGTGTTCCTCTAGGGCGCCCCGCTCAAGCTCCTGTGACTTGACTCATGCCTAGTTCCAAAGAGAGGTAGATGGCAGACTGTGGTGGTGGCAGACTCTGGGGGCCCAGCTTGCTTATTAGCCTAATAGGTACTAATTGTCCTGTTTAGCGAATGGTTTGTCAACATGAGGGCATCTTAAGAGTTAACATTTTCCATACATAAAAAGGTGCAGGGGTAGGAAAGCATAGGAAAGTTTTGGGAAAGGCTATACACACAGAACACGTGGATCATGGGTACCTTGTAGACACAGCATATTATCCTGTTCTGGATTTAAATGCAGGAAACCTGTGTGTCTTGGTAGTCAGTGATCATGAATGATAAAGTCTAATAAACTTGCTCTTTAGGATCCCCAGGACCTGGGTGGAGGTCCTTCCTTATCATGAAGTATCTCAAAGATGCTGAAACGTGGGCTTTTCCTCCTGAACCCTGCTTTTCCTATCTACTGTCAGAAATGTGATGCTTTGGGGCATTCTCTGGGATTCTGTAGTATCAGTGATATGCTCTTGACTGGAGTCCTTTGGAAAACGATTCCTAAAACACCCACAGGTGTAATTTGGCTATGAAATTCTGTCCCTACCTAGATATTGCATTCTAGCGACTCAAGATCATGAACTGATATTTCTCAAAGTTTATGTATTACATTGATTTGAACAGCAGTGATCCCCAGAAACACGGCACTGCATAAAGCAAAGCTTCCATGAACGCTAAGCGTGGCAGCCAGACTTCAACATCACTGTGTCCCCCAGGGTTTGGCTATTGGGTTGTGAAACGCCCATATGTCCTGCCTAGCAAGTTTCTCCCTATGCTGGACTAAAGGAAAGTGATCCACTACTGAGCATCTCTCAATAAAACACCGCTGGATACTTCAGCAGCGAAACCCTGGCAGGTCTGCTATGGGAAGGGCTAGGCCTCTCTGTTCTTATGAGTCACGTTCCTGGGCTGTTTATTGTCTGCGCTGGCAAAGTATAGAGAAAAAAATGTGAGGTATGCATTCCAGTGGAATAATGGTGGTAGAAACACATCCCTCTCAGCCGGGTTTCTAGGCATTTTCCTAGAAATAAATGGGTGGCAAAGAAAATACTAGCGGGATAGTGGTGAATGAATGCTTGCTGCATGATAAGCGCTGTTCCAGGCTTCCTATATGTGTCGTCTCGCACATAAAGACACATTACAGCCGTGTGGTTTGGGCAGTCTCCGTTCAGGAGGCCCAGGGGGCTAAAAACTTACTTAAGGCACATAGCAATAGGCAGAGCCAGCGCTTGAACCCAGGCAGATCCTCGTTTGATTTATCCTCACCTCAAGCAAGCCCCACCCACATGAAATGCTTTGCCACAAGGCTTGCTTAAGCAGGGACCACCCCTCTCGTTTGCCTTGTTTGGAGTGTCCGGCTTGATGATTGATTTTTCCAAATTTAAAACTGTACTATATTATATATGCATGTGATTTGAATGAAAAGAATCCAACCCTAGAACCCCCTCCACAACCACCACCACCACCACCACCATTTCATCCTGTCTGCGGTTTGTAGCTGCATTGAGACATTTGTAGTCTTTGTCTCCAAATTAGCCCAGCACAACACAGAGAACAGTGGGGTGTGTAAGTGTGTGTGTGTGTGTGTGTGTGTGTCCTTTCCTTCTGAATGAAATTGCTTCTCGTGAAGCCCACCGCAGACACATTCAGAGAAGGCTGCTGCCTGCAGTCCACCCGGCAACGGAGGTGACGCCACGTGCGCCCAGCCTCTCTGGAAGTGTCTGCACAGATGTGTACCGTTTCCACTCCCTCTCCCTGCCTTCGGATTCCTGGAGCCAACACCCACCCACTCTGACAGCCTCTCTTTCTCTCTCTCTCTCTCTCTTCCTTTTCAAGGAAAAAAGAAAGAGGCAGACAGAAATCGAAGGGAAGAGAAGGCAGCTGGACGAACAAGTACTGCTGCTGCAGCATTCCAAGGTAAGCAGCCGAGCCCAAACCTGGGCGTTATCAGCCCTGCAGATCACACCTCTCAGAGCCGGGCAGAGCTTGCCCTGCCGTGGAGGCGCAGCGCTGCCTGAGCCAACCTTTTCCGTGCAGCCAGGAGACCGTCTCTTGGATTTCTATGTAATTTTTCTCAGATTCAGGCATCCTTAGCGCATCCAGATTTCTGCGAGCAGGAGATTACATTGCTGCTCCCGAGCAGCACGGTAGATATATATAGAAACTGGATGCGAAGAGTCCACATGGTCCCACGGTTGTTCCTCTTGTGTATTTTGTACGGAGGCTCCAAAAGCTGCGCTTCACACATAATGGACTTTTCGGAAAGGAGAAAGAAAGACTCTTTCTTACTGGGGGGGGGGGGGGAGGGGAGAGACGAGCCAGTGTGATCTAATAAAAGGACGATACTGCACATTTCAGATTGTTTATCTATTTTATTTTGACTTTATAACATTGGAGATGTCCTGTCAGAACAAGGTCAAACCTGGCTTTCAAATGATTTGACTTAGTTCAGTGTCTGTTGTACCTTATTAAGAAGAGAGGGAAGGGGAACCGTTTTTGATTTTTTTTACCCCTTTAAAACATAATGCACTTACGCACTGTAATTGATTACAGTACAGGAGACAGCTCAGTCACTGTCACAAACGCCCTGCCAGTGGCTGAATATTGCTTTCTGCATGTTCAGATAATAATGTGGCCACGTTCATGGACCAGCCAGGAGTTGTTGCTTGCCTTTGACTGTCCTGGGCTTTTAAGAAAGAAAGAAAGAAAGAAAGAAAGAAAGAAAGAAAGAAAGAAAGGAGGGAGGGAGGGAGGGAAGGAAGGAAGGAAGGAAGGAAGGAAGGAAGGAAGAGAACCTCCCGCTGGCCTCAAGTTGCCATGACCTTGTGTGTGCAGAACTGCTTTTCTTGAGGACTGGTTGGGAGGTGGCTGCTCATGGGGTGCTGCCCTGTGTGCATTACTGGGACCCTGCGACAGAGTGGGCCTTGACCCTTGCATGTCTCGTTCTCTGGAAAGCCAGGCTGTGCTAAACGAATCCTCAGAGTGAGACTCATGAGCGAGCTGGCTCATAAACCAGAAGAGCTGCCCGACCTATATCTGCTCAGCATGCTTGTGAGTTCACTGTGAACTTTAACCAGAGACATGTGTTCCAGAGGGGAAAAGGCAGCATGGTGCTGATTGTCCTTTTTCTGTCTGTCCTGTCGCTCCGTCTCCAGCCTTTCCTGGTAGTGGCCCGCACTGTGTTCAGATGCTGTCGCTGTCTCCTGACAACCGTCCTGGGGGAGGACTGGGGCTAAAATTAGGAATATCTTTCTATGGAGGCGGGGCTTACAAACACTAACAAGACTGCACAAGGCCAATCTGGAGAGAGCAGGGTCTCTGGCCCAGAGTGCACGCAATTCACCCCCTATGGAAGAGAGACTAAGAACTCGGTTAATCACAGGGTAAAAGGAGAACTTCCTGATAAGGGTAGATGCTGCGGCCGACAGCCTCTCTCCTCCCAGCTCCAGCACAGCACAATACCTTTGTGGTCCTTAACTCAAAGTCAGAGGGTGCGCATGTCAGAGACCATGTTCCTTTCCTCCCACTTGTCACCATTCTGAGTGCCAGAGAAGATACCAAGAACTCATTCATTGCTGGTGTCCAGCATAGTCTTACGCTGTTCTGTTCATGCTCCATGCATCCCTTCCTCATCCCTGCATCCACCTGCCCACCCATCCAGTTTAAAGAAACAATAGGACTTCATTGTACGTGAGGAAGCACTGAGGTTCCATAAGGGACTTGGCAGCATGGGCATCAGCCTGAGTCTGGCTGGCAAAGGTATATGCAACACTTGCACCCCTGTAATCTGGCAAGTAGGAAATGAGATAGGCTGAAGGTGATTGTTAGCTTGGTAAGCAGAGACCAGTGTGTGTATGCGGATGGATCACTGGCCTCAAAAACTAAAAACCCAAAAGCTCCAAAGACCTAAAGCTCCAAAGGTGGCAGTGTACCTCAGGTATCACCCACAGGAATGTCCCGTTTCTAATCCCTGGGAAAGCAGGAATATTGATAAGGCAAGGAGAGGCTTACTGAATGCTCACATAAAGCAGCCGGGATTCCATCTTCCTTTGTTCTGAGCTCAGCCTTCCTTAAAGTGGCTGTCTGGTTTTCATAGGCAGAAGAGGGTACCTAACTGCGGGGATAGGATCTCTTTGGTTACCAGAAGGGAGTGAGTTCTGCTTTAAATGAACTGACCGTTGGCAGAACTGCGTAGTGAGTCATCAGTCCGTTTCCAGCCTGATGGCCAACCCCTGGATGGAGGAAAACGCGCTCAGGTTGTTCTCCTTCCTGTGTGAACTTTTTCGGGGGAGAGCTGCTTGCTGCCTCCACACTCCTGTCAGCTCAGAAATATTCACCATTCTAGCAGCTGCCTGGGACTTCAAACTCGCAGCAATCATCACAAGATAGATGTCACTCTCTGCATCTCCCAGTCTGCAAACAAACTCATGATGGCGAGGAATTTGCTCAGGGGCACACAGTCTGTTAAGTGAGGGAGGCTAAGCTGAAGCCCAGGGCTGTCTGTTCCCGTGGACAAGGCTCTTCCCAGGACGCTGTTCTCTTCCAAAGGATGGGCCCTTTTAGGCGATTTGCCAGACAGGTGCCAATTGCCATCACCACGGGCTCTCTTACTCTCAATACACTTCATAGGCTACAGAAGATTTAGAGCATGTGCAGACATGTCAGCGTGATTATTATAGGTTCTTTAAAATAGTAAGCATTAGGAAAGATGTCAGTAAGTGACATTTATTTCACAAATTTACAAAATCCCAGACACTCTTGGAGAAAGTAAATATTCTCTGTGCAAAATCAATTAGAAAAGCATTAAAACTGGGTTTCATATTTATTAAGATACAATTTTGATGTTCTTTGTATCCCTCTCGTATCTGTATTTACATATATTCACATACCAAATGGATTATGGATGGTTATTGTCATACACTGAGATATGAATTATTTAGACAGACCTACTGGTCTCCTGTCAAAACAAATAAATAGAAAGCAAGGAAGTGGTGTGGGCACGGGTCTGTTTGCTAAATATTCTCGCTCATTGTGACTTTTGGGAGTGTATGGTAACACAGCCTACAAATCACAACCCCAGAGAACCTAGACAGCAATGAGGACACTAACGGAGAAATATGTGGATCTAATCTACATGGGAAGTAGAAAAAGACAAGATCTCCTGAGTAAATTGGGAGCATGGAAGCCATAGGAGAGGGTAGAAGAGGAGGGGAGAGAAAGGGAGGGGAGTAGAGAGAAATATATAGCTCAATAAAATCAATATTTTTAAAAAAGGGTGTATGGTAATGCCACAGAATAGGATACCATGACTTTATATGGCAACTGTGAGCAATTCCTTACTGAGGAATTCATACAAATGACCAGTGTATGAAATATTACAGCCATGACAGGAAACTTTTAGGTGCTGTGTTTGGGTGCTTATCTTTAGTTAATAGCTAATGTTTTATGTAAGAATTCCCAGGAAATACTCAGAAATTAGCCCAGTAAACAATTCTGATGGCTTTATTAGTTTTGCTTGTTTATAAGATGAAGGATTGTGTCATCATTTCAAAAACAAAGAATGAGAACATCATAAGACAGCCAACTGCACACTTCCCATGCGGATGTTCCCCTGACAGGCATGTGATTTATAGAACCCCACTTATTGCTGTAGATTGGAATGTGCAGTCTTGGTTACAGGCTTCATCAGCCTTGGAGTGAAATTAATTTATATTGACATTTGTATCCAAATTGTCTTTTTAAAAACATTTTATATGTGGGCTCTTTTGAATTCTCAAGCCATAATCTTTTTATGAAATCTTATCTGCCATTGTGGTACTCATGTTTTTTTTAACCATACTTGGGGCTGGGCAGTGGTGACCCACACCTTTAATTCCAGCACTTGGGAGATAGAGGCAGGTAGATCTCAGTGAGTTCAAGGCCAGCCTGGTCTACAAAGCGAGGTGAGTTTTAGGACAGCCAGAACTGTTACACAAAGAAACCCTATCTAGAAAAAAAAAATCATACTTGGGAAGATTTTCATCTCAAATGTTTGCCCACAAGCTTGTCTATACTTCAGTAGTTTGAATTTATCTAGAATTTATCTTTCAATAAGGTATGAGGTGAGGATGAAGCTTTATGTTTTCACTCTCAGTGAGCCACAGCATGATTTATTAATTCATCCTTCGCTCATTGATTTAGATGTCATCTTTATCACATGCATATTTCACCCTTACACTCAAGTCCACCCCTTGTGATTCGTTTCCTTCCATTTATCTGCTCACTCCTGAGCTGGTACCGTTCTCATCTAATCCCCATAGTTGTGGTAATATATTATAATGTTTCAGGAAACAAGAGCCATCATTATTCTTTTGAAAAAATGGTTTTGGTTTCTATCTATGGAAACAGTGATTTATTTTTATTTTTTTCTATAATATGACTTGTGATAGCGTGAATTAAAAAAAATAAATCAGTGAATGTCTTACTTACACCAGCCCAGGCTGAACTTAATTTTCCTCTTTTGCCCTTTGGTTGAATGGCTAGAGATTTGTCTATGTTATTAGTCTTTTCACAGTCCCAGGGTAGAGTCTATGTTCCATGTGTATGACAACATGCATCCCTTGGGACGGCCACATTGTGGAGTGTTGGTCAGCACTGTCAGGAACAATTGCTAGCGTCACATCTTCAGTCCTATTCAGGGGCGGGCAATTCTGACCGGAGCTTTCTCCTCTGTAAAGTTGTCGTTACATTCTGAAGACCACAACCTTTCCTTTAGGGACAACAGAATGGTGGTGGGGGTGGGGGACACCAAACACTAAATTGTGGCTGAGAAAAATATTCATCGTCAACCCATTAAGATCATTCATTGAAAAGCTCTTAAGGTATCAGGAGCCTTATTGCAAAGATATTAAGGTATCTTTTACTATTTTGAACCTTTAACACTAATTCAGATTTTTCTTGGTTATTTGTATGTATAAAGCTCCAGTGTTAAAAAATGTAAGCATTCTGGGCCAATGGGATGATCCACTGGTGAAGGTACTTGCCTCTGAACTTTTCCTATCATGTCCATGTTCTGCACTCTGAATTTGAGTGAAGGGTAAGACTCCATCACTTTCATTAGAGGTTTTGGATTGGCTTCTTCCAAACTATGAAAACAAAAACAAAAACCCTCTGAACCAAAGCAATATCTTATTGGGCATAACAAGGAGGAAAGGGAAAGACTCGAGGGTTAGGAGAAGGGGGGAGGGAAAGGGTATGAGAGAGCAATGAGTCAAAGCAGATACCAGGCTGGGAAGGTGGCTCAGTGGAAAAAAGTGCTTTCTGTGCAAGCCTTGTACCTGAGTTTGCATCCCTAGAAACCATGTAAATGCCAGGTGGGCATGATCACCTGCCTACAGTTCCAACCTTGAAAAGCCAGGATGGGATTCCCCAGAGAGAGCTGGCTAGTAAGATTAACCAAATTAGGAAACTCTAGGTTTGATTGATTACCCCCTGCCTCTGTGGGTCAGGTGGAAAGAGCAATTAGGTATGGTTCTTGACATCAACCTCAGGCCCCAACGTGGATATATACATGTGCATGCATGCCCACACCCATGCATAAATATGCATATATACAGGCATGCCACATATACACACAGAGAGAAATGGGGAAAAGTAGAAAATAGCTATTGTATCACTCTGAGTCTTAGCCACTTTCTTTTAGAGAAGTCGAGTTATCCACAGTCTAACCATCACCCACAAATGCAGTCAATGATAACTTTAGTATGATTACAGGTGGGTGGATGGTCTGGAGTGAAGGATAAACTCATGAAAGGTAGGGAGCAAATCCTATCTCCAGACGCTTTAGCTACGCAGTAATCACTTAAAGGTGAGAAAAATCATGTCTTTAAGTTACCATTGAAAACAACAAATTGAATACTGTAAGTTCACCTTGATCTTATTGGCACAGTATTTTGCCTACGTGAATGCATGTGAGCCACTGAAGGGTTTTATTTATTTATTTATTTTGAGGTGGGTGGGTTTGGAGACAGGGTTTCTCTGTGTAACAGCACTGACTGTCCTGGAACTCACTCTGTAGACCAGGCTGGCCTTGAGCTCCCAGAGATCCCCCTGCCTCCACCTCCTGAGTGCTAGGATTGAAGGCCTGTGCCACCACACCTGGCTACTAAAGGGTTTTTTTTTTTTTAAGAGAAAGCATGATATTGGACTTTTTAAAAAGACCATTTCAATATGGCCTGGATGTCACATGGGCTTAGAAAATCTTACAATGGGGCTATAGTGGCACAGAAAAATGTCCTTGTCTTTTTTGAGACTCAGATTCAAATATCAACGGGAGAGATGTCATGGTGTTCAAGATTTGCTTTAAAATGCTTTGGCGGCAGGGCTGGATAAATAGTTCAGTGGTTAAGAGCACATACTGATCTTACAGAGGACCTGAGTTTGGCTCTCAGCACCCACACTCCACAGCTCACTACAACTGCCTGTAACTCCAGCTCCACGGGATCCAGCGCCCTCTTCTGGATTTTTAGGGCACCTGCACTCACATATGTGCACACATACACACACAAACACATATACACTAAAAAACTTTAAATAAATTGTTTAAAAGCCTTGATAATGTGGAAAAATAGCAAGATATTCACAGTTATTAAATCTGGATATATATTTTTATGTTTACTCTATTTTTGATTTTTTTTTTATAAAAAAGAATGGCTAATAATAGAAAGCACAGACACCAACCACACTCTCTCAAGGTCATCCTTTCCCCAGGTCAGGGCATCGGTGCCTTACTTCGTGTAGGTCTCTGCTGAAATGTCACCTCATCAATGAAGCCCTTGAGACCCAGTTCATAAATACAGCAATGCTTTCTTTATTCCTCTCCCTACTTCCTGAATTTGCAGAGTCATTGTGGGGGTGCATCTATATGTACATGCATGTATGTGAACATATATATGGAAATACACACATATGCATGTATCTGCGTATGTGAGCAGAAACTATGCTCACATATTTAAGAACATAATAAAACAAAAAGATGTAGAAAAAGCACAGTCCAGGAATCCTGGTTGCTTGGCCAAGCAGAAGTAGACAGCCATGGCAGGGAGTCAGCCAGTGGTCAAGCTGAACGGTTGAGTGGTGGATCTGATGGAGAAGACCTGCCAGTCCGGAGAAAGTGTGGGCCCAAAGGTATCATCTTACCTGTTGTCTTCCCTCCTTCCCACAGTCCAAAGTGCTCCGGGAAAAATGGCTGCTGCAGGGTATGCCTGCGGGAACAGCGGAGGAGGAGGAAGCCAGGAGGCGGCAGTCTGAGGAGGATGAGCTCAAAGTCAAGCAGCTTGAAGATAACATTCAGAGGTAGGTGATTCCCGGTCTGCAGTAACTGCTGCTCTCCTGTAGGGGCCACTTCCTCTGTGCTTCGACCTTTCCCTGGGGCTGAAGACTTGCCTTCCTAAATAGATACTGGTGTTGTCTAGCTTCTGTGTGAATCAATGTTATTTCTAATAATGCTAATACTGTATTGGTTGAGCTCAGCTAAATGGCTCTAAGCTGTAGGTGGGATGCATCTGCTTTTGTTTTCTGCACACCAACAGGCCACGGGCTGCTCTTACTGTCTTTCTCTGGCAAAAACAAAGGGTCTGGAGAGATGAGCAGAAACAAGGCCTACACTTAGAACTGCCCATAAACTAGAGGCTAAAGCATGCTGGTAGCCACAACTCATGAAGGAGAGGAGATAGGGGATCAACTTTTGGTGGAGGAAACACAGATAAGAGAAGGGTAAAGGGTGGGGGCAAACAAATCCATCTTCCATAATCATGATTGTTGAGCTGAAAAGGGAAACCACAGAAGAGTCAGTTATTGAGAAAGAATAAAAACTCAAACAGCACAATAGGGGCAGAGGCAGTGAGGGAAGAGGATAAAGAGGGGTTTGGGGGTACCGTCCAGAGTCTGATCTTTACTGAACAGGAAAAACCAGAAGTGACTTACAGACAGGATGTCACAGAGCCTCCGAATAAGGGAATTTATGCAACCAAACATCTTTCTGTAGCTCCAGCCTTCCACCCACTGCTCTGAGCTCTGAGTCACTCCCTTGCAATGCATTAGATTCTCTTAGAAGGGACATGTGGTTCAGTTTGCGAATACTAAAGTAAGCCCAGCATGGCGATGTGGTTTTTGTAGTGTCTATACCCTGGAAGTGGAAGCAGAAAAATCCAGCAGTTCAAGGTCATCTTAGGCCAGTCCTGGCTGCCTGAGACCCACTCTCCATTCAAACTGGGCGTAGCTCAGTTGGTAGAGCACTTGCCTGGCATGCAGACGGTCCTAGGTTTGATCCCTAGCTCTGTATACACCCACTTACATCAGTTACAGTGGTGCACACCTGTACTCTCAACACTTGGGAAGTGGAGTCAAGAGGGTGATAATCTGAAGGCCATCCTCTGCTACCTAGAGAGTTTGAGGCCAGCCAAAGAGGAGGGCAAGAGCCTTGTCCCTAGAGGAGGTAGCTAGTCACTGTTTTCTGCTCTCTTCTGGGTTGTGGCAATCAACATTCTGTTCTTGACTTGCTGAATATCAATGAGGCAAAAAAAAAACAAATAAACAAATAAATAAACAAAAAACCAAATAAACAAAAAAAACCGATGAGGGTCTTTGAAAGCAGATTTTATACATATTCCTTGTGTTTTCAAAAACAAATCTCAGATGCCAACATCTATGGGCTTTGCTTCCTGTTGGAATATTCTACTGAGGAATCCCATAGTCAACTATTATCAGTGCCTTGGCATGGCCCTAGAGTAACACCAGACCTCACAGTGGTGCTCTTGGAGATTTTAGGCAGCCAGATCCAGACTAGCTTGCTCTGTTTCATATCTGTTCCTGTCAACAGGCTTTGTGGCTTGCCTTGTGGGTTTTTTTTTCCCACTTTCTAATGTAATAATGCATTCATGATTTTTCTCACTGCTGTGGCAAAAATACCAGATAGAAACAACGTAAGAGAGGGAGGATTTGTTTGGGGTCCTGGCTTCCAAGGGGTCGCTGTGCAGTTGTCAGGCTCCGTGCGTTTGGATGAGATATCGCAGCAGCAGGCATGTGTGGCCATGGCTGTCCTCATGACAGAAAAGACACAGAGAGGAGAGAATGCTGGTCCTCTGCTGGCTTTCTTCTTTTTCCTTCCTTTATTCCACTGAGGTTCCAAGCTCTGGAATTGGTGCTGCACACGTTCAGGTCGGGTCTCATTTGGGAGCACCTTCACTGATACATTCAGGAAGGAAAGGTGGAGGGAGAAAAAGAGGGATGGAAATGAAAAAAGAAAGGTTGGAGAGAGAAAGAGAAGGAGGGAGAAGCCCCAGCTCACCAACTGCCTAGGTGACTTGAAATCGTGGTCTAGTTGACATTGGAGCTTACCCATCATAAATTAGGTCTTATTCAAAGGTATAGTGTACTCTTAAATTTCATTGATTAATGGTAACTTTAGACAAAATTTGTTCCTCTCTCTCACTCTTTGGAATTACCCCAGTGAAGTTGGGAAATCTCTCGGAATAGTAAATGAAATAGAATGAACTCTCAGCTCTGCGGGCAATTCTCTGTGTGACTGGGCAGTCTCTCATGGTCTGTGGCCTCTTTCCTCATCTCTTCAGTGAGAGGTCTCTCGGGATCGTCTAACCATGACATTTTTGAGGTTCTCTCACCTGAGGAGTTGGCTAGAGAGCCTTCCTTTAAACAAATACACCTGTGCAAAGAAATGTCCCTGGGGTGGCAGGAAGTGGCTTTGGATACAGGTCAGAATATGGAGGAGGTGTTTATAAGTTCTCAGGAAACAAAAGGCCCATTTGTAAGTAACTGATTCACTGCAGAGATGACTAACCCATCCGAACAGCTGTCAGTTCGAAAATATGTCACATCAAATATTCACTGAATAAAATATTGAAGTCTCAGTTGCTAAGCAGGAGAAGGCCATGTAGCTTTCAAAAAAAAAAATCAAGATACAAGATACAAGTGGGTTAGTCCACTTTTTCTCTGATTGTCTCTGATGCTTATCAGAATGCATTCTTAAGAGTTTCCAAACAGGTAGAAACCTTAGGCTTGAGTGTGTATGCGTTGTGCCATGGGATTTGGCAACCACTGAGACAGCCCTCACTCATGGCTATTCTGGAACCAGCACCCACGGAAATGTTCTTTGAAATTACAAAGGATGCTTACTTGGGATTCACTGTGTTCTCTGGACTTGCTATTTTTAGCTCTGTGGTGTGCTGTTCTTTTGAAGTAGGCGCGGGACAGTCCACACTGGCGTGCTCCACTGTTGCTGTCCCAGCCTGGATTCCTGCCCCACATGCGCAAGCACACTCCCAAATACAACCTATTGAGAGTTGCCATTTTCCCAAACCAAAACAATACTATATACTACATACAGTACTATATACTACATACAAATAGGCTAGTTACTGCAATTGTATCTATCTTCCACTGTTAGCTCCTTTACAAGTGTTCTTTTATGATAAAGTCTTTTGAGACACATGTTACTAAGTGCAATCATACTAACGTTCATGTCATGCTGTAGGAAGATGGACAGGCAACATGTTCCTCCTCAACCCCAGAAATTTCTTACGTTGAGAAATATATTGTTTTCTCATGACTTGGGAAGTGGAGGCTCCAACCTCCCGCTACCAGTTTTCATGACTGGCGAGACAGCCTCCTTCAGGTTCATGCAGGAATTGCAGGCTCCACTTCTGGGGTGGCTCCCTTTGGTCTCTTTCTGGCGCTCTTTAATCCCGAGTGTAGCCTCTTACCTGAACACACCCTGACTCTCTGCTGGTGTACCATTATGTAAAAACCTCCCAGTGGAGCACTGGTGAACCTGCACCACCAAATTTGACCAGACTTGGAGTCTGGACTCTGTATGTGTGAGCTGATGGTGACTAACCATGTGATGTCTTTGTGGTTGAGATCTGTTAACTGCATTGATGAAAACAGTGCCCACCTTGCAGGGTAGGTATAGTGCATGAAGGTCCCATGCAACCATATAGAGACAGGTACAGCAAGCTGAACATGAGCAGAAAGAACACTGTTACTGTCTGTTCCATCTCTCTGGAGCAGGGTTTCTCACAACACAATTGTCATTTTAGGTCCAACATTATTTGTTGTTGGAGGCTATCTTATACTGTGCGTGAAGTTTAAGAGTATCCCTGGCTTGACCTAGGGATAGCTTCCGGTTGTTCCATGCCCCAACTCTAGTTAGTACAAAAAGAAAAAAAAATGACTCCAAACCATACTAACTGTCCTGAATAACAAAATCACTCCAAATAGGCCACATATAAAGCCAAGAGTTCTCTGTTACTGGCTATTTTCCATCACGGGGGCAAAATACTTGAAAAAATCAAATCAAATTAAAGGTAGGAAATGTATTTGAGCTTAGGGTTCCAGAGATTTGCACCCATGGACACTTGACTCCTTTGTTTCTGGACCTGTAGTGAGGCAGGGCATCATGGTGGGGCATGTAATAGGAGAGCAAAGGTGCTTGCCTGCGGCAGCCAGGAAGCAGAAAGTGAGCTCACGTGTGTGGCAGAGGACGTCCCGCAAGCCCTGGGAAGCTGCAACTCTGCACATGCATTCATTATCTGCAGGAAGAGCCCAAGGCCTTGCCTCTCAACACTGCTGCCATGGATTCATATCCAGCTTGTTAAATGATACCCCCAAGACCCCACCTCTGAACACTAGAGAAAAAGTCTATGAAACTGACTCTAGGAGGAGCTTAAAATTTAAACCAGTCAGCCATGGTAATATAATCCTAGCACTTGAGATGGAGGCAGGAGGATCATGGTTTAAGGCCATCATGCTAAGCTATATGATGGGAGCCTGTCTCAAAATTCAAAACTGGCTGTAAATGAATTTGTATTTAGGCTGCGGACTTGCAAAAAAAATGACATGGAGACTTATTATTAATTTTGAAAGCTCAGCCTTAGCCTAGGCTTGTTCCTAACTATTTCTCATTAACAACCCATTTCTTTCTATCTACTTTCCTTCGTGTGGCTTGGTTACCTTTACTCCGTATTGCCTGGCCTGCTTCCTCGGTGCCTAGCTGGCAACTTTTTTTCTTTTTCCCAGAGTTCTCGCTGATCAGAATTCTCTGCTATACCTCCTGCCTAGTTATTGGCCATTCAGTTTTTTTTTTTTTTTTTATCAAACCCGTCACAATGACATATCTTAACACAGTATAATCGAATATCTTGCAACCACAGGCTGGGTGTAGTAGCACAGGCCCTTAATTCCAGCACATGGGAGGCAGAGGCAGGCAGATTTCTGTGAGTTCGAGGCCAGCCTGGTCTACAGAGTGAGTTCCAAGATAGACAGAGCTGTGTAAGTAG